TAGGCTGTTGGTAGCATGCAGGAAAAAGACAATGGTGGTCTGCGCTGGCACGTGCAGCAGGAATGGAGAAAGTAAACAGTACATTGGTGAGGTTCTCAGGGCCTTGGGGACTGATTGGTTGTGGCGGTGGGGAGTAGCATGAGTCAAGGATTTAGGTAACTGGAGGATGGCGCCTTTCAGGGATGTTGGGTGCCCAGAAGGAAGCAGGTTTGGGCAATGATGCTGAGCTCACTTTGATGGATTCGTCTATGGGGCAAGGACGAGGTGTCAAGGTTAGAGATGTAGATTTGGGAGTGTCTGCCTGTGGGAGTATTTTGAGCCTGGGGGAGGCATCCAGAGCAGAGTGTACGTCAGGTGTCCTGCGGGGCCTAGTCCATGAGGTCTACAGGAGGCAGCTTGACTCTTGCATCTCTGGCTTCCCTGCTTACTGCCTCTTTCTCCCTCTCCTCTCTGCCTCTCCTTTCTTGATGGGCCTGGCTCTTCTCCTGACATCTCCTGGTGCTAGCTGCCTATCCCTGCCCTTTCAGCAGCCCCCCAGGCTGGGCAGGCCCCATACCGGGCTCATAGTGTGATAAGCTGAGTAAGTATTTGTGGAAGGAATGAAGGAATGGCAGGTGGCCTGAGTTCCCTCACCAGCCAGTGAGGCTTGAGGACAGAGCAGGCACCTGCTGTGTCCTCTGGCTAGCCATTCCTGCTTCAGACCAGGCTCAGCAAGGTGAAAGCACCTCATCTGAGTTTTCCAACCTCTACCCCCTTTAATGTCAAAGATACTGGGTGTCCCCTACCCCATCCCTCTCATGACAATAATAATATTTTTTGTGGCTTTTATTGAAAAAAACAGATATTGGGGGGCTGGCCCCATGGCTGAGTGGTTAAGTTGGTGTTGTGTGCTTTGGCGGACCTGGGTTTCACCAGTTCAGATCCTGGGTACAGACCTAGCATGGCTCATCAGGCCATGCTGAGGTGGCATCCCACAAAGCAGAACCAGAAGGACCTACAACTAGAATGTACAACTAGTTACTGGGGGCTGTGGGGAGAAGAAGGAAAAAAAAGATTGGCAACAGATGTTAGCTCAGGTGCCAATCTTTAAAAAGAAAAAAAAGAAAAAGAAAAAATAGATATGGATTTGAGGACCTCTTGATGTTAACTCCACAGTCTGTACGTGGATGTGGGATAGGAATGGACGGGCAGGGTGTGTAGTTCACAACTCACAGAGGAAGAGCAGCTAGCTCGAGGAACTCTATGTGGGAATGGACAGAGGCTGCCAGCAGGGTCGGGGGGCCCAGGCTGAGCCGTCCTGGTTCCCCACTTTCCAGTTCCCTGCTCATGAAGCCTCCTTCCTGGCTCTCTGGATGGGGTCCAGCTGGTCCTCGGGTACCCCTACCACCACCCCGCCTGAGAGGTTCCTTTGGTGAATGCTTGATGACCACTTCACCCTAGACCTTTTTATCTGGCATTGCTCCCATTTCTTTATTTTCACTCATCTAAACAAATGCAAACACTATAGGGGGGGAAGACTAATTATAGCAGAAAGTCTGAATTGAAGATAACTTTGAAAGCAGTGCATTTTGGCCACAGGGAGGGTCTCTGTACCAACAGCATTATCAGGACAGCCAGGAGGGACTGGCTCCAATGGATGGACATGAAAGAATGGCTTATAACCATCCTGTTGATCACAAGTAAAGGGATTGCTTTTAGTTTAAAAATATTTGCAAGTCCTGTGTTCCCAACTGACTCCCGTTTATTGTTTATTGTTTTCTTCACAGATATGCTGTGGGCAGTGGCCACAGCCTTTTGTTATTCTCATGGTCTGTCTCTCCTGCAGCCTCTGTTCTTTATCTCACTTACACTGTCTTCACACAGTCCTTCCTCAGACATGCCGAGTGCCTGCTGCATGATGGCATTGCACCGGGCTCAGGGGGTTCAGGGATGGAGGAGGCAGTCCCTGATGTCCTGGAGCCCCTGGAGATGGACAGTTAGAGCACACCACACAGCGTGACAGTGCCATCAGGGTGCCATGAGTGCCTGCAGCAGGGTCCCCTCAGTAGGCTGGGGGAGGGCCGAGGGAGGGCTCCCCTCCCCGAGAAAGTCACATTTGGACCCAAGGATGAGTTTGGTTTGGAATGCATGCAGAGGCATGATTATGGGAGCCATGCAAGATCAGAGTCCTATGCAGTCAGTAAGGCTCAGCTTCCTTTTCTCCAGGAGCCCTTCTGTGACTCTTTTACTCCATGGGATCTGTGTGTCCTCTGAGCTCCTGCAGCCCTGACAACATGAATCATACTCTCCAGTGCCTGAGTGACAGGCTCCCTGCCTCTGAAACCACAGGACAAGCTCCTTCTCCTTGGGGTCCTGTTTTATTTCTGGTCCTCCAGACCGGAGTGTGTCCCTCAGCGGAGCCCACGCCCTTCTCGTTCCTGGTGGCCCAGTGGGCTCAGGGGCTGCAGGGCTCTGAGGTTTGACTTGGACCTCCTCCACCTTAAGGGCCTCTCTTATCAAAGCACTTACATTAAGTAAGGAGCAGAGAGAAGGAAGATAAAAATAAACACAAGTACAGCAACAATACCAAACAAAACTAAAAGACAAATGACAAACTGGGGAAAATATTTGCAAAAAATGATAAAGCAAGGATTAAATATTCTCAATAAAGAATTTATACAAATCAAGAAGAAAAACATGAGGATCCTTACAGACAATTCACAGATGAAATTCCAATGGTTAATATATATTTGGAAAAAATTGCTCAACCTACCAGTAAGCAGAAATAGAAATGAAACCAATTTATTTTCACCTATCAAATTTTCAAAGGTGAGAAAAAGACAATACCAGTCTAGGGCTTGGATGTAGCGAACGGGCACCCTCATATCATGCTGATGGACGTGTTAACTGGTATAGCATTTGGAAAGCATTCTGGAAGTGAGTCTAAAGAGTCTGAGAAAGGTTCATTCTCAATCCACTGATTTCACTTCTGAGATTCTATCGTGGGAATGGACAGTGACATGGGGAATTTCTCATGAAATCATGTTAAACAACAAAAGTAGGGCGTACAAACTGTGTGATATATAATCCTACTCACATAAAGTATATATTTATGCATAAATATTTTCTTTGGGTGATTTTTGTGGGCTTTTTTCCTTATGGGTGATTTTGATCGTCATATTTTATATGTTTCTCATATTTTCTATAATGAGCACAAAAAAAATGAAGAGGGAATGAAAAAAAAATCTGTGTGAAATGTGAAACAATGGAACCAAATAAACCCAGAAATTAATTTTGGGAGTCAAAGGATCAAATCACTGGCATAACTTGTCACTTTGCAAGATTCAGGAAATATATATTGATGTGTATACCAAAACCCTCCATTAGGTTGAGGGCAGAGGTCCCCAGGCCACGTGACTATAGCTGGGCTGATTTAATGGGTGAGAGTACCTGGCTCTGGGTGACACTGGGTATAGCCTGTCTCTTGGTAGGTCTCAGTTTCCTAATCTGTACAGTGGTACAGTGAGAGGGGGTCAGACTAAACAATTTCTGAGGACCCTGGCAGATCTTGGCTGAGTCAGAAACTCTGTTCTTGAAAAAGAGAACTTCGACTTGCCCCCGTCACACAGCTGAGAGGGACCAAGTGCTGGGATTTGCAGGCTCCTGGTTCCAGCTCCTTATCTGCTGAGAAACCACTGCACAGGACATTGTTACCTATTTGGGACCACTGCACTGCCTTGTCTTGGCTCTGCTCCTTGGCCAACCTCTCATCCTGTCACAGCCGCTGGGCCCACTCACTTGGGGGCTAGTTTGACTGCTCAGGCTTTATTGATTCCTAGTCTGCCTGCCCTGGAGGGACAGGAAATGGGAACCCCATGCTTTGGAGCTGTCTAGTGGAGGCATGAATTCAAGCCCATTTGGGATCCCCACTTGCCCAGGGAGAGGGTGCCTCAGGGCCCTCTCTCTGGGACATTAAAAAAAAAAAAATATATATATATATATATACATTTTTTGTTGTTGTTGAGGAAGATTGACCCTGAGCTAACATCCATTGCCATCTCCCTCTTTCTGTTTGAGGAAGATTGGCCCTGAGCTAACATCTGTGCCAATCTTCCTCTATTTTTTGTACATGAGATGCCACCACAGCATGGCTTGGTGAGTGCTGTATAGGTCCATGCCTGGGATCCAAACCTGCAAACCCTGGACCACCAAAACAGAGTGCATGCACTTAATCACTATGCCATGAGGCCAGCCCTTCTTTGGGACATTTTTGAGATGGTTTGGCTCTCAGGGCCAAGCTGCCCTGACTGTCCAAAGGTGATCGAAGCCACTTCCTGATGTGGAACAGCCCCTCCCCTCCCGGCCCACAATCACCTGTGGGCTGACTGGAGTCCACTCCCACAGCATCAACTGCATCAGCTCTCAGCTTTGATAAGGACTCCTGTGTTCAGTGACCTTTCCCAGAACCTGACAGTTTATGGTAATACTGCCTGGGCACCTCAGAAACTTCTTTTGCTTTCAGCTGTGAGCAAGTCTCAGAGTCCTCCCTCCCATGTACCTTCTCAAGGGTGGGGCTGGAGGCCTAACTCCGCCTGGCCTAACAGCTGCCTGGCGCTGGGGATGAGGTAGATTGATTTTCCTTCCTGCTCAGGTGTAAACTGAGCATCAGGCTTCCAGGAAAGACGGTGTGTAAGACTACTGCCTCCATCAGCTGCCCCAGGACCCCTGCCTGAGCTGCTGCCTCTGGACTGTGACATCTTCAGCCTTACCCTGCATAGCAAGGCCAGTCCTGGGTGGGGGCAGAGGCAGCTGCCCTGGGGCATGGTGGAGATGATAGGGAAAGGTGTCCTCAGGAAACCTCTCTTCCTAATGTGGGCCTGTTTCTCTTTAGCAGCAAACAGATGCATGGAAAGACGGCTTCTCTGAAGAGTCCCGAGTCCTGCACAGAGCAACTAGACAGAGTTCAGGCACCCCTGGACTCCAGGTGAGGCCACCCTCCCAGTCACCTGTACATACAGATTGTAAGTAGGAAGGCCTCAGGAGGTGACCTGTTAGAAAGGGGACCTTGAGGCTGAGCTAGGGTGTTAGGTCTGGCACAGGCTGCCCAGGTCCTCTTCCTCCCACTCCCAGGCCCGTCCCAGCGCACTGGGACCTAGCAGAGTCCAAGCTTCTCGGGTTACCAGCCTCCTCCCTGCCCACCTGTCCTCAGGCCAACCTGGCCGGGGCAAATGTTTGTGTTTCAGCACCACCCCTTCTCCCCCAACCTTGGTAGCATCCATCAGGTCAGGGGAATCTGCCAAGCTCCTCACTGCAGAGCTCGGCAGGGAGGAGGCTGCAAGGAGGGCAGTCCTGCCGGGATCATGGCCCATGACCAGGCCCCGGAGCTGTGAGTCTGACACCTCCATCTCACCCACTCCTCAAACAAGTCCCCATCCCTGTGCTTTCTGCTCATTTATTCTTGGGTCTGTTCTTCTGCTCGTCCCCTGGCCAGAGAAATGGGAGAGTTTTTGACATCCAGGGTGGGTGGCTCCTAAGCATTTTTTGGAGATTGAGGCTCAGGTTGGGCAGCCGCTGATCACACGTGTTCAGGGAGGGCTCTCAGCGACCCCTCCTTGCATCCAGGAATGCCCTTCCCCAGAGTTGAGCTATGTGCTTACTGTGCTTATCACTTTGCTGTGGCCCCTGGAGAAGGGCCCCAGGCTCCAACCTCTGCCCTAAGCTTCTGGCTTGAAGCCAGGGCAGAACTGGCACTGAGGATACATGGGTAGGCCTTGAGGGTTCCTTGTTCCTGGAATGGAATGTCTCCTTTGCAGTCTGCACTGGCCCAAAGGCTCGAAGGGTGAAGAGATAAAGAAGTGCAGCCGAGAAGGGGTAAGTGTGTGGAGGCTGACTTCTCACTGCCCACCAAGGGAGGGGTCCTGGGCTGCCTGAACTCAGTGACTATTGGCTCCTTAGCCAAGGCCTGTCACCAGGAAACCTGAGTGAGTGTCCCCTCCTGGGTGGGAGTGGTGTGTTCCCCTCCAGTCATAGGCTGCCTATCAGGACCCAGCGTCACCAGGAGACAAGGTGTGCTTGGAACTCAGCCCTCCACGCCCATTGACTGCTTACTGGCTGCTTCATGCTAAGTCCCCGGGGGGGGCCTCTGTGGCATTATTTCCTGGTGGCTGGAGCAGAGCCCCTTGGCGGTCTGATCTCCAAGGACTTCTCAGACCCAGCCCATGTGTTTGCAGACATCACTGAGTAAATACAACCAGCAATACCACAAGCTGTTTAAGGACATCCCCTTGGAGGAGGTGGTTCTCAAAGGTGAGCTGTCTCCCTGGTGTGGCTGGACAGGCGCCTCTAGCGCCCGAGGCCCAGTTCCTCTCCTCTGGAACCTCCAAAGCACGGTTTAGATATGGGAACTGGCTGCCCTTTGGATGTGGTTTGTCTTGTTTCTTCAAAAGTATGAGAAGGCTGGGCTGGTTTGGGATATGAAGTTGAATTTGTGAAGGGTCTCTTGACAAAATGTCAGGGCTTCCAAATCTAATTTCTGTTCTGCTCTTATCAGTGACTGTTCTCAGGTCTCTCACTGAGCATGTGGGAGCATTTGCACAATCAAGGCCCTCTCTCAAGGGCAGGGCAGAGCAAGGGGTTCTGCCTAAGGGAGTGAGAATCCAGGCTTAGGTGACCCCTTGGGGCATGGTCGGAGGAAGAGGAAATATTAGCAGTTTGGTAGGGTAGGTGGGGGCAGTCAACATTCTGAGGAAGGGACTCTTGGGATGCTGGGGGAATGAGTTGTTTGGAGCCTGGGATTGGGAAGGGGGATTCTGAGGAAGACCGTCCTTGAGCCTGGACTCGGGATTCCTGAGTGTGAGGACCCTGAGGCTTCCTGCTGACCTTGCTCATGGTGGTCTTCTTTCCTGCGACTTCCTAGTGTGCTCCTGTGCCCTCCAGAGGGACCTCCTTCTCCAGGGCCGGCTCTACATCTCCCCCAACTGGCTCTGCTTCCATGCCAGCCTTTTTGGCAAGGATATCAAGGTAGTAATGAGTGGTAAGGGCTGCCATAGCCCAGTGAAGCCCTAGCCCCCTGCCCTGCAGGCACACCTCAGGTCATGCCTGTCCTTCTGCAAGCTGGTGAAGCCTCTCACTGGTTGGATGAGCAGCTGTGAGGTGTCCCAACTGGTGTCCAGGGGAGTAACCCTCCCCCTTCCAAAACCGGGACCCTAATCTAGACTCTGCTTCTTGCCTGAACAGTTCACAGCCAGATTATCCTGCCTATGGGTGTCTCTGAAATGCCTTCAGAATCAGAGTGGCATGTCATTTAGGGGGGACCATAAGTGTGGCCAGGAGTTACGTCAGGGAACTCCTTTACTGGAATATGGGATTCACCAGAGCAACCACCCTTGGCCTCCTGGATAACAGGGTGAGAGCCTGGAGTGGTGTGTGCTGCCAAGGCTGGGGTTGGGTGCTGGGGATAACTGGAAGGGAAGCCTACATAAGAAGGTGGAATGTTCAGATACTCTCCCACATGGGGCCAGGCTTCTCCATGGTGTTCATGCTTGGCTCACTGCCAGCTGTGGCTGGGGCCCTATGCAGGAAGCAAAGGGACCATGTCCTTGGGAGTGAGTCCTGAGAGAAGCATGCCTCTCCCCACTCAGGTGGTCATTCCCGTGGTGTCTGTGCAAATGATCAAAAAACACAAGATGGCACGGCTCCTTCCTAATGGTCTGGCCATCACCACCAACACCAGCCAGAAGGTCAGTGAGTCTCTGGGCCAGCGCTCCCTTGTCAGTCTCCCCATCCCAGTCCCAGAAACCCATAGCCTGACTGTGGCACACTCTCAAGTCGTTATTACCCCACCCTCTTCTGTTTTCTTTCCATGTCCTAGTATGTCTTTGTGTCACTGCTGTCCCGGGACAGTGTATATGACATGCTGAGGAGGGTCTGCAAGCACCTACAGGTATGGAGTTCAGGGGCAGGAGTTGGGCTAGGGAGGCTGCTCAGGCCTGGAGTGGGGTCTTGAGACAAGTCTGTTGGGGGAGGTCGGCCCATCTCCAGCACAGGGAGAGGGGAGTACGGGCTTAGGCTCAGTGGATCAGAGGCAGTCCTTGGACTATGTGTCTACGCTTGTGAGCATGTCTCTTTCAGGCCAGTGGGACCTTGTGTGTCCCCACGTATATGCTCTCACATGTGCTTCCTCAGCATATGGATAGGCAGGAGCACGTGGCTGCTTCCCAATATGCCTACAACTCTCTCCGGCTCCTGGTGAGGAAGGTGGGAGGGGCAGCAGCATTGGGGAGTATATTGCCTTGGATTTGTCCTCTACTCCAGAATTAACTAAGGGGTTCCTTGGAAACTCTGGGAGCTATTCTCCATCTGACCCAAAGTGGCTTAGTTGGAGGCAAAGCTCTCTTGGAGAGTGCTAGCACCTCCCCATGCCTGACCTTAGCTGTTCCAGATAGACAAGTGACCCCTGTTCCCTTTTCTCCTCAGCCTTCCAGCAAGAAGAGTCTGAGTGTAAGAGAATTTCCAGAGGAACCTAAGTGCCAGTCTCTGGTGAGAGCTAAGGCTGAGAGCAAAAGCTGCTTCCCTGAGATCACCAGTGGCTCTGTGGTTTCAGGGCTTCTCAGGCAGGGGCCCACAATGCAGAACTGGGGCCCCAGGTTCAAGAGCCAATGGCCACACTATGCCAGGGGGGCCCTAGCCCGCCACACTCCATACCAAGCAGAGCTACTAGGTCCTGGGCAGATTTGCTGACTCTGAGCAGAACAGATGTCCAGCCCCCAAGAATACTGCCCAGGTTGGATTCCACACCTGTATGGACTCAGAGCAGTGACCATCCTCTTTCCTCTAGCGGAGTCAGGATGCCTTCAAGGGGATAGAGATGTCCTTGGGGAAGAACTCCAAAGGCTATCACTGTGGAACCCAGACAGACTTAGTTTAGATTTGCTGAGGTCCCAGCAGTTTGCTTAGCTGTGGGGGTTCTGGGTAAGCAGAGCTGAGTTTCTAGAGCAGAGATGGGGGGTGGAAATGACCCCAGGGTGCTTGAAGCCTCCTTCAGTAACTATTAAGTGTTTAGCCAAGCATGCAGCATGACGCAGTGGATAGAAGGTGATGTTCCCATTTTTGTTGATGGGCACCCTGAGTACCCCTGCCAAGGTCAGTGATGTGCTTAGCATTAGAGCCCAGATTTGAAGGAGTCATGACTTATCCCACCTAAGATATTTTGTGCTGAGCTTTCTTGGACTCAGTTGATCTGAGCATGTACCTGGGTTGCCTCACGTCTTAGATCCCAAGTGGTTCTACACTAGAAGTCTTCAAAGACATCACATGTTAACTGGCAGAGTATCTGGTCACTGCAAGGGAGCAGATAGGAGAGACGTGTGGATGCTATGGCAATGATTTCCCCTTTCCTGGATACCTGCTTTCATGCCTTGCTGGGTATCCATACTGGTAATATCTGGAAAAGCTTTGATGAACCTAGTGTGGGCCCCTTAGGGCAAGCAAGATCCCAAGGGCCATGGTGAGACAGCTTCTCCTGCCTTCTCTGCAGGAAGTCCTCATCCCCGAGATGAAATGGAGAAAAGTATGCCCTGCATCTGGGTCTCTGTCCCTCCCAGCCAACATCCCTTGTGTCCCTCGGGCATCCATGGACTCCTCGGACAGCTTCTTTCCCTCCAGGAAGCCTCCAGGGTCTGGTGAGTTCAAGGGGCTTGACAACAGCAACTGTGTGCAAAGACTAGGCTTTCCCTCCTCCTACTTTTGCAAACAGAGATCATCACAGCCCGCAGGGCTTCTGAGAGCTGTTTCTTTCTTTCTCCAAACCGATAAGGGCAAGCCAAGCAGCTTCGGAGAATATGGGGAGGTGGGCATGCCCTGTGTTGGACTGGGGTCCTGCCTGCCCCGGGAAGATGCCCAACTGCTCTCCTATTGCAGAGAAGGCTGTCTGTGAGGAGGAGAAGCTGGAGGAAGAGCCCAGGAGTGAAGGGGAACTGAGGCTCTGGGATTACCTGCTCCTCAAGATCATCTTTGTGCTGTAGGTGACTATATTATGGGAGGGGAGCAAACTGATCCGGGTATCTGGGTGTTTGGAGCAGGGGCCTTGGTGTGTGGGGAGGTCACTGTCCAGAGCCAGGGGAAGGTTCTGAGTCAACTGCAAGCTGCTGGCTGGTGTCTGGAGGCCACATGGCAGACCTTCTATAGCAAGACAAAGTATCTCCAGTTTTTATTGTTACAAACCAGCAATTTAGGGTTAAGGCTGTGTGGTGGGGAGGGGCAGGGTATGAAACTGTTGAGAAAAGGAAAAGTTGCACAGGACTGGGGAGAGGGAGGGCTGGCAAAATTGGATAGGGCCATCAGATAGACTAGGGAAGAGCCATGGCCTTACCACTGCTACCCACCATTAGGACAGTTTCTGGAACCCCAGACTTGTCTGTAATTCTGCCTAAGGACCAGTAGGGTAGTGAGCATGGTGGGACGTTTTATGAACAGCCAGTCCCTGGCTTCCCTTCACCTAAGCTCATCACCTTCCTCTGGCTCTGCTGGCTGGGTTTTGACTGTTAACCTCAGCACTTGCTGGAGAAAGGGGCCTACTTAGTGGTTAATCTTAGTGGCCTCCCAGAAGAGGCACAGGACCAAGGTGGCTGGTCAAAGGGAAGGTGGGCTCAGCTGAAGAACCCAGAACTCCTGCTGGGCTTCGAGGACACTTCCATGGGAATGAGTCTCAGGACCTTCATGAGGCCTCTGGGAAGAAAGATGCCCAGGCCTGAATATAGCTGCAGGGCAAAGGATTCTTTAATTCTTCCAACTGCAGGAGTAGCTTAGTCATTACTCCTATTTTTGGTGAGCCTCGAAAAAGGTCCTTTTACTAGAAGAGAGATTCAACCCTTTCTTGCCCCCTCTTTCTCCAGGATCTGCTTCTTGGTCATGTCCTCATCCTATCTGGCATTCCGCATCTCCCGGCTGGAACAGCAGTTATGCTCCCTGAATTGGGATGGCCCAGTCCCTGGGCACAGGTGATCCCCTTTCTCTTCCCTAATGCCTCTGGGATTGAGGGTTAAGGACAAGAGCCAAAACCTACGGCCAGGCTGCTTGTTACTCTGGCTGGACTTGGCCCTGCCCTTAAGCTGGCGTGATGGCCCTGAGCAAGGCTGGGCAGAGTGTGCAGGTTACACAGATCCCACCCTGACTCACTCTTACTGGGGGAGAAAGGCTTCACTGACCTACCTGCCTGCCTTCTACGCCCTGTCTCTGATCTGGGCGTGTCTCCCATGTGCAGGTAACAGCCAGCTGGCCTTTGTTCCGGCTCCTCCAAGAAGAATGCTCTAGGTGCTGAGGTTCTCCCTACGATCCCCTCGGTTTATGCTGCTGCTGTGCTGAGACTGAGTATGAAGGAAAATATTCCAGATCCCTCCTCCTCCCCACAGCTCTTCTCCCTCCTTTAATGAGTGATCTGAAGTACCTGTTTACAAAGCTCCTACAATTTTGGGACTCAGACAAAAAGCCAGATTTTTGGAAACAGCTGAGGAATTCTGTATACTAAGCTTCGGCAACCACTTAAATGAAAAAAAATTGTTTCTTGGAAACAGTTCTGGCACACAGGCAGAGCACGAAGGGCCACCCCAAGAGAGGGCCATGATTTGATACCTGGAATGTGGCTCTCTGTCACATGGCTCACTCCAGTGGTAGGACAGGGGCCAGAACCCATACCACCAGTGTGGACTCTGCTCTCTCCCAACATACTGTGCCCTCAACTTGGGCCCCTGAGAGTCCCTGTTCTGGGGCCCAAAGGCTTCTCTTCAGGGAGCCAGGCCCCTATCAGGCCTGGAGGGACGTAGGGGCAGGCTATGTATAAGGAGAGGAAGGCTTGTGGCCAGGATTCCAGTAAGAATGGAATGTTCATGATCTGTGCTGAGGCTCTGTTCTGGCCCCTCACAAGGAGGCTGGCTGAATCTAGAGGACACTACCCACAGCAGGAGACAGTGGCAGGGGCTGTAAAGGAGAACAGAGGTCCAGCATTCTGTGTCCTCAGCTGCCACTTCCTGGTGAGATAGGTGGATCACTGTGGTCACAGACCTGATACTGGATCTTCTCTTGGTGTGCTCAGACATTTCCAACGTGCCCTAGGCGGGAAGGAGGGGTTGGAAAGGGTGGTGGCTCTGATTTGAGGTCTTGCTCTGTACTCCCTGCCTGACTGCCTGGATTTCAGGCAGGGCCAACTGCAGCCTGTTGGGGAGGCTTGGCTAGGCAGCTGGGCATGATGGTGTTGGGCCACCACGGGGCAGAGCTCACTCATGTCACCTGCAGTCAGTGTGTGGCAGACCACGAACGAGGGTCCTCCACTCCATGGGCTCTGTTCTCTATAAATAAAGTGGAGGTGTCCAAAGCGGGCCTAGTCTAGTGCAGGGACCAGGCCAAGGAGGTCTGTCTGATACCTTTGGGGATGAGAGCGGTAGGGGATGGAAAGAGTGGACATGGTGGTGGCTTTGCCTTAAGAGATCCTTCTCTTAGCCTTCTCTGTCAAGGCCTTCTCTATTCCAAAAAGCGTCTCTGTGCCTTAGAACTCTGGCCTGCTCTCTCTGGGACTCATCTTCTAAGACAGTCCCCTTGGAGGTTCTGGAAGGGCCTTAGTGAGGAGGCCAGATATCAGGGAAAGTCTCTGGTGATGGGGTGGGTGGTGTCAGAAATAGCCACTGTTTTTCCCTCTTCAGACACCTGAGAAGCTAACTGGGGAAACATCCAGGGGAAATGATTGATTGTGGAGTTGCGATTGTCTGTCCTGTTTATGACAAAGCCAAATGAGGATTGGAAGGACTGAGAGTGGGTGATAACTCCCTACGCTCAGACTGGAGGTCTCTTCATCCTGTCCTCATCCCAGATTCTAGGATTAAGCTTAGAGCCTGGCCTTGTGGGTTGCTTGCACCGAATCTGTATGTCTCAGGTGAAACTCGCTGTTCCATTCTCCCTACAGTGCCACACTGGATGAATGCCCCTCCTTTTTTTGGGAACAAGTCCCCTTCATCACTCCTTTCCATAATATTTTCAGGGAAATAATCCTACTTGCCCCAGCGGCTCCCCTCCCTGGTCCTTGCTGAAAGGCAGGGAGAACAGATCCATTCTCTGAGCCTTGCTAGGTTGAGCCAGAGGCCATAAGAGGTGCCAAGTCGTGGGTGGCTGTGCCAAGATGCTGGTGAACCCAGTCTCCAGCCATGCCCGAGACTCAGAAAGGGGAAGAGGAATGCTGTAGGGTATATATGGAGGCCCTCTTAGGGTCCAGGGCTTTGAGTGGTATGAGTGTGCCTGTCCCTCTGGAGGGTCCTCTTTCTGTTTCTCCCTTTTGTCCCCCAGCCTAGTCCTCTGCGGCCAGTGTACCTTCTGTTGTGCTCATTTATAAACTATGTGTATTTATACAGACCTGCTTGCATTGGCTGATGCTCCTTTAATTCCCTCAGAGTCTGGTTCAACTATCCTTGGGTTGTTTCACTATGGCATTGGCCTTTGAAAATATTTTTAAATAAAAAATTTGATTTTTCTAGTGTCCTGTGGTATGGAAAGTTCATTTTTATCTTTTGACCACTCATTAAAGGTACTGTTATGTATTTGGCACCAAGGAGACTGATGGAGCCCAAGTCATTCTCAGAATCCCAAGTACTCTGCAAATCTTCATGAACTTCAGCTGAGCTAACTCATACTTCAGGCATATGGGGAAGGATAAGGATGGCCACAGCAAACCACCACAGTCTTCTGCCTTTGTTGGGCGGACACTGAGAATGCTTTCTCCATTTCTCCTTTTCTCCTGGGCAACTCCAAAGCAACGTCCCTGGTTTAAATAGTACTGTGCTTCTGGTTCAAGAATTAAAGTCTGGAGGTTAGAGCCAGAAAACTCCTGTGTCCTTTTCTATGACACTGAGCTTAGATTAGGGAGGTTAAATTCCAGTTTGGGCAACATCACCTTTCTTTTCCCTAGGATGCCCCCTCTAGTAGTGATTCATTCATTCAGTAAATATTGAGCCCAGACTATGAGCCAGCTACTATGCTGGGCATTGGGGATATAGCAGTGAACATGTCACGCAATATCTCTGCGTCTCCATGGCACTTAAGTTCCATGTAAACATAAGTTCCAAGTAAATATGTAAACAAGGTGATTGCAGATTGCAGTCAAGTTCTATGAAAGAAAGAAAGAAACAGTAATATGAGATAAACAGAGAGATGGCTTTAAATCGGTGGGCCAGAAAGTTTCTCTGAAGTGACATTTAAGCTCGTGCTTAAAGGATGAGGAGCCAGTTTTGGGAGGAGCTGGGAAAAGAGCATTCCTGGAAAGTGGATCAGCAGCTGTAAAGGTAGGAAAGAGGGCCTGTGTCTCTGAGGAACAGAGAGCCGGTCTGCACGACTCTGGATACTAATCAAGTGGGAGAGTGACATGAGAAGAGGCTGGAGAGGTCAACTCAACAACAACAAAACAAACAACCTATTTAAAAATGGGCAGAGGACTTGAATAGACATTTCTCCAAAGAAGATACACAAATGGCCAACAAGTACATGAAAAGATGCTCAACATCCCTAGCCATTAGGGAAATGAAAATCAAAACCACAATCAGATCCCACTTCGTTCCCACTAAGATGGGTACTATCAAAGAAACAGAAAACAACAAGTGTCGATGAGGATGTGGAGAAATTGGAACCCTTATGTATAGTTGATGGGAATGTAAAATGGTGCAGCCACTGTGGAAAACAATAAGGCAATTCTTTAAAAAATTAAAAATAATTACTATATGATCTAGTAATTCGTTTTGGGTAAATACCCAAAAGAACTGAAAGCAGGGTCTCAAAGAGCTACATGTACACCCGTGTTGATAGAAGCATTATTCATAATAGCCAAAAGGTGGAAGCAACCCAAGTGTCTATTGGCAGATGAATGGATAAACAAAATGTGGTATATTCGTACAATGGAATATTACTCAACCTTAAAAAGGAAGAAAATTCTGACACATGCTACAACAGATGAACCTTGAGGACATTATGCTAAGTGAAATAACACAAAAAGACATACTGTAAAATTCCACTTATGAGGTACTTAGGGTAGTCAAATTCATAGAAATAGAAAGTATAACGGTGGTTGCCAGGGGCTGGGGGGAAGGGAAATGAGAGTTACTGTTTGGTGGGTATAGAGTTTCAGGTTTGCAAGATGAAAAGAGTTCTGGAGATGGTGATGACGCTTGTACAACAATATGAACTACATACTATGGAACTATATGCTTAAAAATGATTAAGATGATAAATTTTCTGTGTATTTTACCACAATTAAAAACAAAGAAAGGCTGGAGAAGCAGGTAGAAGGGAGTTTGGATTTTATACAATCCCTGGGTACTGCAGCTCAGATCTGAACGTTTGGAGCTGGTAGGATCAGTGGTTGCTGAAACCAAGTGCTTTCCTTTGCTGGAAGAAATAAACATGGGGATGTAATATGGTCTATAATCTACATATGCTAATATACCACCTTTTCACTATTCCCAAGGACCCGTTCATAGCAGTAGCATCAGAGAGGGTATATAATCTTAGACATATTTATATTTTTAGTGGAAATGAGCTAACTTTATAAGGGAGAAACAACTGCCTTAAATTTGGGGGAATGAAGGGAAATATATATATACAATGCAGGAGCCTCAGTTTTGCAACGTGGGCCTTAGCCAGATGAGAAAGGGTAATGGGAGGGGGAGGAGTTCTAGTGAGAAGGCCATTCAGGAATGAAGGGAGCTCCATGAGAACTGCATCCCGTTGGAGACATCCTGGGAGTAAGGAACTGCCCCGACCCTCACTCCCAGGTGCCCAGCCAGCCACCCAGCCTTGGCCCTCCTACCTGATGGCCATGACATTAGGACCACCCATGGAACTGGGTGAGATCCTAAATCTGAGATGCTCCTCTCCTAGCTGCTGGGCCACAGGATCAGGGCATCCAAGGGCAGAGGAACTTCTCAGAGAAGGCTCTCCTATTTGCCTCAGGCCTGGAACTGAGGCCAGATCTCTAGGCTGGTTATCTCTTTGAGGGGGAAGAGATGCCAACTGGGCCACTAGGTGGCAGCAAAGTCCAGCAGGAACTAGAGCCGAGGAAGTGAGCAACACAATTTATTCTTTCTCAAAGGTCCCCCTGTCCCCTTGCAGGTCAAAAAAGGGCCCAGCCCTCATCCAAGTCCAGTGTACGGCCTATCCAATCACAGAAGGCACTCTCTGGCAGGCTCACATGGCCATTTCTCCTGTCTCCTTTGGTCCTTTCTCTTCTCCCTTTCCCTCTTCTTTCATACCCGGGGGAAAGGTCTGAGCTGATTCTGAAAGGAGAGCATTCCCAAGGGATCTCCAGACCTTCGGAAGGTCAGGCCAGTAGGAAGGCAGAACTGGCAGGTGTGAAGAACAAGTGGGGGGCAGGGAGGAGTCACAGGGGAAGCTCGGCCTCACTTCCAACAAGGGCGCAGAAATCCCAGGCTTTCCCCATGATCTGCCCTCGTCAGTAGCATCTTCTCTTACTCAGGACACAAAATTACAGAAACCTGGCTCCTGCAAAGTGTGATTTCAGGAGGCAACAACACTCTTTCCCCTCCTACCTTCCTCTAAAGTGCAGCAGGTGGATCCTAGAGCAGGGAGGATTAAAATTTAATGGTTATACATGTTTTGGCCACTGAAAGTGAGAGGGAGGGGGGTATTTAAGCCTCTGAAATGCTAATCCAGAGAAACCTGAGTTCATCCATCTGCATGCTTGACCTCCACAGAGCCAAGGAGCACCTGGCGCCCAGCAGGCACTGCTCGCTGGGCTTCCTTCGTGTTGGCAGGGCTCCTTGCCTTTCTGGAATGTGTGTGTTCCTTCTTGTTTGCCACTCAGTGCCTGGCCCAAAGCCAAACCTGAGCTGCTCGGAATACCATGCCCCACTCACTTCTCCTCTCACAGGATCGGAGACAAGGCTCTCTTCCGCCTGAGAAAAGGCCAGGCCCTTGCTGCAGCCTCATCCCATTGGTGCTGACTTCTCTACAGACATCAGACCCTCCAGTGGCTAAGAGCAGAAGCACTTTGGGAGGACGCAGCTAGGACCCCAGCAAAGCAGACTGTGGCATATTGACGTCTTATCCTATTGGCAGCCTTCTAAATTGGGCCAGAGTGGGCAAAGTGTTACTCATAAGCTGTTCATTAACTTGCTAAATGCAGAAAGGGTGGCTTAGGCACCACTTTGGGAAAATGTACACCCACTGCTCCTGGATTCACTGTAGCATGAAGGTGTGTTATCTGGTGTAGGATTTCTGATGGAAGTTTTTTCTCTATTGTTAGTTCCAAATACCAGGCTAGTCTTAATGGTATGCTCTCGCCAGTACATGACTACATTTAAAAGATTTATTAAGCACTTTGTATGGGTTCCTGGATGTACACGTATATAGATACTAGAATACTATAATTTTCTGAGCACTTAGCTGGGTACCAAGCCCCAAACAAGGTGCTTTTTATACTCATTTGACTCTCAATACAACAATACAGTTTTCACACTTTACACTGTGGAAACTGAAACTAATAGGCCAGAAATTCAATACAGACCTCTTCAGGGAGTTTACTGAGGAGACAAAATAGAGGGAATAGCTATATAACTGTCTAGACATGTGAGCCCAGGACAAATACAAAAGGGAGTGCAACAGATGGACTCACTGGCAGAGGGGTGTGCAGCATGTGTGGGCTTCAAAGAATGAGTAAGATTTGGATCAGAGCAAAGATGTGGGGATGATCCTCACAAAATGTGTGTTCGGAGGGTAACATTGGTAAAAGGATAGAAGAAGAGGTGCAGATGAAATCTTGGGAGAAGCAGAATTCCTTCTGAGGAATGGATACATAAGTGGGCAGAATCCTTCAGGATCTCAGTGCCAGGAAAGGAGGGAGACTTGGTATTTCAGGCAATGAGGAGCCACTGGAGCTATCAAAGCTTAGGAGCAATGGATAAATTTAATTGTGTAGGAATATTGGTTTGGCAATGGAGAACAAGGTAGATTAAAAGTCCAGGGGAATAGTCTAGATCATGGTTTCTCAACCTCAGGCACTACTGACATTTTTGGCTGCATAAGTCTTTGTTATGGGGGTTGTCCTGTGTATTGTAGGATGTTTAGCCACATCCTGGGCCTCTGCCCACCTGATGCCAGTAGCACCCCCACCCTTGGTTGTGACAACCAAAAATGTCTCCAGACATTGCCAAATGTCTCCCGGGGGTCAAAACTGCCCCTGATTGAGAATCACTGTTCTAGATGGCAGGAGATTAGGGCTTGGACCTCAGAATATTGGCAGGTACTTTCCTAAGCAACTGCATCAGTCTATCGACTTTTAGAACAGCTGACAAAAAGAAAAATGGTTTCCTTGCCACAGGAAATTCATCATGCCAAGGAGCTTAATGGCCTAGAGAAAAAGGCTTCAGAATTAGATCATTCTGCATATTAGAAATCTCTAGAGGGTACTCCAAAGCTATAGATAATGTGCTCTAGACTCATTAGCAAGAAAGTGGCTGATATCAGGATTTCTCTCTCTCCTCCCCACCCCCACCCAAGTCAATAGTCCCCTTTGAGTAAGGAATGTCCAATTTGTCAGGCAGACAAGGTCCTGATCTGTAATTTTGCTGGGTTTACATGTACCTTTCTAAAATTTTGTTTTTGGCAATTGGTAGAGTGGATGGATAGAGCCTGATCTGCCAATGAAGAGCTATGATTTACCAAGATGTATTTTTGTCTAAAGTGAAGTACAGCCTGCTTGCCAGCTACTTATTTTTGTAAATAGTTTTCTTGGAATACAGCCATGCCCATTTGTTTATGTATGGTCTCTGGCTGCTCTGGAGCTCCAAAGGCAGAGTTGAGTACATAGTTACAACAGTAATCATATGACCTATAAACCTATAATATTTACTATCTGGTCCTTTAAGCAAAAGTTTGCTGGCCCCTGATCTGAAGGAAATGCCTGTGTTGTACAAAATTGTAGACTCGGAAGCTCATTCTCATCCCAGAATGAGATTCTGGAGATGACGGACTTTATTTTTTCATTCAAATAATTATCATTGAGTGCTTACTATGGGCTAAGCACTGTGCTAAGTACTTGGGATATATTAGTGTACAAAGCAGATAAAGATCTTTGCCTTCATGGAGCTTATATATTCTGGCAGGGGGAGGAGGAAGATTAGCAATAAGCAATAAAAATAATAAATTATATATTATGTTAGAAGGTGATAAGTGCTAAGGGAAAAAGAAAAAAATGTAGAGCAACAAAAGAGGGATTAGAAATCCTGACGGGGAATTCCAACTAATAGAGGGTGGTCAGGGAAGGTCTGCTTAAGAAGTTGATATTTACACAGATTTAAAAGAAGTGAGAGAATAAGCTTTGTGGGGCATTCCAGGCAGAGTGAATAACCAAAGCAGAAGGTCTAAGGTGAGAGGGTGCCTGGCTTGTTCAGGAATAGCAAGAATGCAGGTAGAGTTGAAGAGAGAGAACAAGGGGGCTCTGGACCAGGAAACGAAGTCAGAGGTGATGCTGGGGTGGTGCTAGGTTGCGGGGGACCTGGAGATCATATAAGACCACTGTAAAAAATCTGGCTCTTATTCAAAATGAAACGGAAGCAGAGGAGTGAATAATAAGCTTTTGTTTTACACATGTTAAAAGGACCACCCTTGGCCGCTAGGGAGAGAAAGGTGGGAGCAGGGAGATCAGTTAGGAGGCTCTGTGGCGAGCCAGGAGATATGATGGTGGCTCTGACTAGCATGGCCGAAGTAGAGATGGTAAAATGGGCTGATTCTGAATATATTCTGAAAGTAAAAACAGCAGAATTTCCTATCAAATTAGAGATGGAGTAGAACAGAAAAGGAGTCATAAAGGATGATTCCATGTTTTTTGGCTTGAAAGGATGAATAGAATTGCCATCGACTGAGAATGGAGAAAGCTGTGAGTGGTGGAGTTTTTGGAAGGAAGATCAGAAATGTAATATTGGACATAAGTTTGAGATGAGTTTTAGACATCCAAGTGAGTATGTCAAGTGGGCAATAGGCTATTTGGGTCTGGAGTTCAGGAGAGAAGTCTGGGAGATATAAATTCAGGAACTGTCAATATATGGATGGTATTTAAAAGCACGAGACTGGATGAGATCACCAAGGGACTGAGTGTCGACAGCGGAGAGGATGGAGGACTGAGCCCTGTGGCACATGGTCAGTGCCACAGAGATCAGGAAGAAATGGAGGAACCAGCAAAGGAAACCGATGAGTGCCTGATGAGGTAGGAGAAAAACCAGAAGAGTTTGGTGTTCTGGAAGCTAATTACCACATACCAAGGAGGAGACTGAAAAATGCTGCTAATAAATCAAATTTCTCTTACTGTGGCTCAACAAAATTTTTTTCTTGCTTGAATGTAACCCAGAAGTTTCCAACCTGGACAACTCCAAGCAATTTAATGTTTAGGAGTCATTCTTTCAATACAAAAATGGCCTAAGCCCCATTTTCAACCATTGTAGGAAGTCCTGAGACCTCAGTTTGTCCAAGGGTTTCCCAGGTTGCTTCTCTCTCTCCTGGGTCAGACCATGATGCAGCCTGCTTGCCTACTGCTTTTCCTTTGGCTATTGCCCTCTTGCCCATGATGTGCCACTTCTCATCCTTCATTCCTCCAAATGATCCACCACTAAGACGGCTGGTGTATCCAAATTGCACAAAAGGTTTAGAGTTAATGGAAGGCACAAAGAAGAAAACAGCTTCAAATTAAATGCATACATGACTGCTTATAGAAATTTAACAGCCATTCTCTACTCTCTCAGGAAACTTATCATTGCATGTCCTCCAGTAGGCCCCTGCCTCCTGCCATTTTTCTGGTATGCATCCCATCTCAGTTCTTTTCATCAACCTCCCTCCACTTCTTTCTTTCCTAGGCCTCATTCTCTTTTTCTAGGACATTCAGTGAAAATTCAGATTGCTTTCATTTTATTATTTGGAGTAACTGATCTCTCTTTGTATCCTCCGGGCCCACCCAGGCTAAACCCAGGAAGTTGACCTTTCTCAACCAAAAAGGTCCTTCTAGATAGTTACTTCAACAAAACAAGCTCCCTAGCAATAAATTATGCCACACTCCTGAAATCGGAAAGGCTACATTCAGTTTTTGTTTTTAATAGCAATTTTTCCTTTACGGTAAATAAAACAGAAAAAAACACATTACCATTAACAAACAATCAGGAGACAGTATATTATGGTGGTGAAGAGTACAGGTTCTGGAATCAGTATGCCTACATTTAAATCTCAACAATTGGGGCCGGCCAAGTAGCGCAGCGGTTAAGTTCGCACATTCCGCTTCTCTGCGGCCCGGGGTTTGCTGGTTTGGATCCTGGGTGTGGACATGGCACCACTTGGCAAAAGCCATGCTGTGGGAGGCGTCTCACATATAAAGTAGAGGAAGATGGGCATGGATGTTAGCTCAGGGCCAGTCTTCCTCAGCAAAAAGAGGAGGATTGGCAGCAGATGTTAGCTCAGGGCTAATCTTCCTCAAAATAAATAAATAAATAAATAAATAAATAAATAAATAAACCTCATCAATTTACTTCTTAACTTGGGCAACTCTAAGCTTCAGTTTTCTCATCTCTAACAGGGGGACAATAATAGTATCCAATAATAGTATCTACCCTACGGATATATGGTGATTATTAAATGGGAAAATTCACATCAAATCCTTAGAAGTCCCTGGCACATAGAGAGCTCAATAATTGTGAGTTATTATCTATTAAACTTCAAGAAATAAATTTAAACAAGTATAAAACCCAACGTTGGTAGAGCTACATGGAAGTATACATAGGTTTATATTGTACATTTTTAATAGTACTATACCTTGATTCTTTCTTTTGAGAACTCTCTGGCTATCTATACGAAGGGATATAAATTGCTTATATAGTTTGATAACTCAATTCCAGTTTTGTATTCCTCAAGGAGATAACTGGAAATGAAAAAGTTATTTATGAAGAGGGTTTGCAGCACTGCTATTCATAACATTACAACTAACCAAAAAACCTAATCAAGGGGAAATGGTTACGAACATCATGATCTATTAACTTGATGTAACCCCATGTTACCTTTAACCGTAACAAGTGAACAATGATTAAGGAGGGAAATTTGTAAAAAGCAGAATTAAAATAGTGCTTACACATGGATTACAACTATGTGAAATGTGAAAATCTTTAAGAAATCAGCAGATAAGTTGAAGGGATGTCCATGGTTAGAGTTATGTTTAGTGAGTTCCTTATTTTCCATCAGGTTGCTTGAGTTCATCAACCCCGTATCCCATAATAGCTTGCTCTTATGCAAACATGACAAGTTATGCTGATTAACCTGGCATTTTGATTTCTGCTGCAATGCCATGGAAGGATGATGGGCTGTTTTTTGATAAATTGTTTCTATATTTGCATTTATTCATTCAACAAATAACCACCAGCGTCTATGTGCCAGGCACTATTTTAAGCAGCAGGGATTGAATGGTGAGCAAATCAGACATGGTCCCTGGCCTCCTTACAGTTTAGCAGGAAGAGATACACCACCAAAAATTATATGTGATTTGGGCATACTGAAAGCGTTCATGACTCTGGAGAATTTTTAACAGGGAAAGCAAACCAGTCTGGTGCATTAGGGAAGACTTCCTTGAGGAAGATATTACATAGGAGTTTCCCGAATGAAGAGTGTGGGAGTCAGAGGGGGAGAGAAAAGCAAGTGAGAGTGCTTTAAGGGGAGGAAAGAAGGTGTTGTGTTGGAGGAACTAAAAGGTGTGCAGAGTTGGAGTACAGTAAACTGGGCAAGCAAGAGAGGTCTAGCTCGTAAGGAGGTAGGAGAAGCAGGAAGGGGCCAGATTATGCAGAGCTTTATTAAAGATATTAGCAGAATATAAAATGGACTGGGGGGTGGAAAGCATGCGTGAATACTAGCAGACCGCGTTAGAAGCTATTGTGGCAGACCAGATGAGAGACGACGGTTGTTTGGACGAGAGTGGTGGTATTGGCGAAAGAAATAGATGGATTTAAAGGATATTTAAGATGTAGAATCAACATGACTAGATTGAAGTATGTGAAGTGTGTGAGAGAGAAAGTCAAGGATGACTCCTAGGTGTCTAGCTAGAAGTGGGTGGGGAATTTCCAGTGGGACTACTGATAGAGCAGGTGTGATGGGGAAGATGAGATGAGCTTTGGGATTTGTTGGGTTTGAGTTGCTTATGAAATATCCAAGGGAATATGTCTAGTAGGCTGGTAAATGGATATACAGGTAGAAATTTGGAAGAGTTCAGGAGAGAAGTACAGGTCTGAAGTGCTCAAATCTATTGCTGGCCTGGGGAATGGGAAGAGGGAGCCTAGGAAGTGTGTACAGAATGAGGAGAATAGAGCTTTTGGGACAAAACTCTGAGAATCTACAGCAAGTAGAGAAGAAACTGGCAAATAAGAAAGACTGGTCAGAGAAGTATGAGGACAACTAAGTATGGCATCAGTTAAACAAGAGTGGTTTGAAAAGAAGGGTTTAATGTTACTAGGAGGACTAATAAAATAAGAACCATTAGGGGCTGGCCCCGTGGCCGAGTGGTTAAGTTCACGCGTTCTGCTGTAGGCGGCCCAGTGTTTCATCGGTTCGAATCCTGGGCGCGGACATGGCACTGCTCATCAAACCACGCTGAGGCAGCATCCCACATGCCACAACTAGAAGGACCCACAACAAAGAATATACAACTATGTACCACAACTAGAAGGACCCACAACAGAGAATATACAACTATGTACCCAGGAGCTTTGGGGAGAAAAAGGGAAAAAATAAAATCTTTAAAAAAAAAAAAAAGAACCATTAGCGATCTTATTGAGAATTTTTTCTAGAGTGGTGGGAGAAGAATCTAGATTAAAGTAGGTTGAGAAGTGGGAGGGAGGTGAAGAATTGTGACACTTTAGATCTGGCTGGAGGAGGAGGAAAACAAAAGGTCAATATCTAAGAGGGAGATATGAGGTCATGCTTTTATTTTTAAAGATGGGGAGACTTAAGACATCTATACGTCTAAGCGCTGATGGAAAAGAGCCAATAGAGAGAGGATGATGACGACGATGACGATGATGTGTATGTGAAGGAATTGTCTGCATAAGATCCCTGTGCCCAGGTGAAGGGATTAGCTTTAGCCAAGAGGGTCATCGCAATAGAAGTGAGGAATGCTCAAAGATGGGTACAGATACACTTAGGTTTGCAGATTTGGTGTCAGGAAAGTTGAAGCTCATGGTAGTAACTATATTCTCTATGAAGTCAGAGAGTGCGGGAGGAAGTCAGGGCTTTGAGGTTTGAGGAATGAAGACTGAGGTGGCAGCAGTAGAGAGCTGCAGTGTGAGCTGGCTAGGAGGCACAGCCTAGTACAGAAAACCTTGTCTCAGCTTGTGTCATGGGTAAAAGGTTTTCTTCCAAGTACAGGTTGCTGCATTTGGTTACAGGGAGGGAAAAGAGCCAGGAAGTAATTCTTCTCGTCCTTTAACACAAACTGCAGGATCTAAAATTAATTTTTTCCATAGTAATGACCACTCTTCCCTACTACTGACAGTGAAGTTGCCTACCACTTCCTTTGACACTCTGACATGTTTTTCCCTACATAAGAAAACTTAATTTAAATGCATTTTGCACTTGATTTTTCCTTAGTGGAATTTCATTTGCCTCATTTTGGAACTTGGTGACCACTCCTCCCATCTTGTACTGAGTGCTCCATCTTTGCTTAGTTGCATTTACTTGACACAGTTCCTCTAAGCTCTCTCTTGTTTATGAGGCTCCCGAGGCCGCTGCTCTTGTTCTTCTCATCTTTCACATGTACAGAATCTGAAAGGAAATACAACGGAGGGTTTTAAAATGCCTTAGAGCAGTAGATCGATGTCAGGAGCCGATCCAAATATGACCTAATATACAAAACAAAGCCAGTAATTATACAAAGTTTTGCAGTTAATTGAGATAATTTTTCACTATTGGTTTCTGTAATATACCAGCTGAATTTATGAAATTTATAAAGTGAGGCGAGATTACATTTAAAATGTTTAAGCAAGGAGTTTTTGCCACCATTTTCTGAGACAGGGAGAAAGGCATACGCGGAAAGAGTGTAAGAAGAGATGGAGGCCGTGCATTTGAGTCTTGGCCCTGTCTCTTTCAATCATGTGACTGAGCTTCTCTGAGTTTGTCTATCTATAAAATTAGAATAATAATACTGAACAAACATGACAAATGAGACTACATAGTTCTATATAAAATAACTTGTACATTATAGAGTGATACACAGATTAGTTGTTGTCAGGGCCAGCCCGGTGGTGCAGCGGTTAAGTATGCACGTTCCGCTTCTCAGCGGCCTGGGGTTTGCCGGTTTGGATCCCGGGTGCGGACATGGCACCGCTTGGCAAAAGCCATGCTGTGGTAGGCGTCCCACGTATAAAGTAGAGGAAGATGGGCATGGATGTTAGCTCAGGGCCAGTCTTCCTCGGCAAAAAGAGGAGGATTGGCACTAGTTACCTCAGGGCTAAGATTCCTCAAAAAAAAATAATAAATAAAAGATTAGTTGTTGTCATTTACCATCCTTGAATAAGTTTTCTCTTTTGTACATAATAGTACTTATCAGGCCATTTTTTTGCAGCTCTTTAGCTGCAATATAAAACAAAGTTTTCAGACTTGCTGCTAGTCTGAAAATGGAACTGGGTAGTAGGACAGAAGGGGAGTAGGTTTATTTTAGTGTCTATTATATGCTTTACATATGATATTTAACCCCTATAGGACCTGCTTGAACAGACCACTAGCTTCATTCTGCAGATGAGGCTACTTAATCTCACACTTGCCTGAGGCTGTAAGTTTATAACTGACAAGGCTTGGATTCTATTAAAACATCCATGCCCTTTCCCACACCACAGCATGGAAATTTCTGTAAATATTTTCCCCTTTTTTATTTTAAGTGACAGAGGAAAAAACTTTCAATATCAGTAAATAGCCATGTGACTGAGAAATTCTACTTTGCCATTTCAATGGAATACCTATTATTAAAACATATGGTCAGTATGGACATAGTAAAAGTAGTATAGTAAAAATCATAAGGTATATATTAGAAATATAATCCACTTGTGATTTTTTAAATTATTCTGGTCCAATTAGGATTAGTGCTTAGGAATTTCAACAACTATCTAGCCAAAGGGCAGAAATATTTATGATTTGGACAGTATTAAATAGAAAACCCACTGATACTTATTTTTATTTTTGACCACCATCTACAGCTGGGTTTCTAAATTCCACATGAGACACAGGTTAGACAAGTGTCAGTATACTTATGGATCAATACACCAGGATATTCAAAAGCAGGGTAGTTCACTGTAGCAATTGCTTAACTGAATTTTGAATAACCTGCTTTCCTTTTGAATATTTTGAAGCTGAATTTTGCACCCTGGATCCTTTTGACTCTAAGAGACAGGGAACACAATACCAACAAAAGATCTGTCTCCTATTTTGTATCATGTAACATCAATGGATGGTCAAGCCGTGTATAACTATGGGCTGTTATAGTAGCATCTAGTGAAATATTACAAGTAAACTCTTAGATTCTCCTGTCATTTATAATGCTAAAACAAATATCATACTCAAAGTTTCATAGGAGACTAACCTATGGCACAGTTCAATAACAGAATGTATTTGGAAAAGGAGACCTCAGATTTTATCTCTTTTTAAAAGACTTTACTAGTTTAGTTAAAAAAATTATTTCTGGGACAAATCTTAGGGAGTTAGCCAAGACTGCTCTCATACGTATTAACTCTTAAGATGGAGACAATCTGACATGTACACAGACACACTTTGTATTATCAGAAGGACAACTTTTCCAAGAGAGGATATGACTCTTTCAGAGTCTAGACTAGATGCCTAGGTCAACAGTTGTTGAAATAAATATTATTTCTTATCGTTATCTACACTCTTGGCCTCAGCAACCTGTCACTCCCCTTGTTGTCCCTCCCTCCCTATTTCACCTCTATGACTGATTGCCAGGTCCCAATCTTTTTTTTCTGACACCGATTTCCATTAGGTCTCCTCTTTTTATTCAAAACATACTGACTTGAAATGTAAACTTTTTTGTAGCCCTTCTCTTTGACTTTTAGTTTCAACTTCTGTTCACTTGGGCCTGCTACGTAACCTGTACTTATTTACACTTACTGTGTTTCCTCCGTCCCTGACCAAAAGGAACTGAGTTACTGCCTCTGTGGTCACTGAGTGGTGAGGTTATTCTGGGCTATGAATGCTGGGGGCAGGATTAGGCTGGGGAGGTAGTTGAAGTAAGTTTCATGGCTGAAGGTAATCTTTGGTTTTCAAATCTCATAAGCATTGCAATCTAATTCTCATTAGGAATGGAATTAATGTGTGTACCCAACATGTCATCTGATTGTTAATTATTTGAAGCAACTCTGAAAAAAGACATCAATGATTTAGGAGGGTTACATTTTTTTACTCTTGGTTCCACATTTAAAAAGTTACATAGTCTGCATTTTGAATTAAGCAAAAGGGTTGACAAAGGCCACTTTTTCTCATTTATATCTCAAAAACAAACCAACTTTTACCCTGTGAGTTTCAGATAGAATAATCATTCTGAAATCACCATGACATAACTGAAAACAATTCTGCCAGATTAAGGATAGAGAGGAGAGGAAAAACTGACTGTCAGAAAGCAGAAATATTTACCTGAAATAACAGGTAACCTTGGAAAGTTATCAGCCATGAGTTTTAAAACCAGAGAAATTTGGACATAAGGAAGGAGTGTGCCATGGCTAATAGACATGGTGACGGAAAGCTGTTATCAATCCAGAGTAGCAAGTTGACCCCATTCACTGAGCAAACTAAGAGGGCTACAATAGCCATTTATTTTAATGAAATTACTTAAAGTTCCCCCTTACTTAAAGCATTCAAGAATCAGATGGAGGAAGATGGGATAACATCACCTCTATCAAATATTTGCAAAAGTTACGCAGACAGGCAGAAAAGACTTTGCATGGTGAATGGAAGAGAGATCACAGAACTGAGTAAATGATTTTCATAGCATTTAATCTTGAATTAGGTTAGGTCTTGATCTGCTTCTAGCCAGTTGATCTCTTTAAATATGTAGGCTGTGCAATAAGTTTTTGGTTCTTCAATAGTTTTCTTCTTGCATTCCTCTAGATTTCACATATTCTTAATTTATTTTACAGATTACTGCCTTTCCTTGGGAATAAGCCAATATGGATAAGGGATACCAAAAGGGAATTAATAAATCTTAAAATCGCTTGGTCTTAAGGTTTTGGTGCATAACTTCAAGACATTTTCACAGAACATATTGCTCTCAAGCTAGGGTTAAAGTGAAACTTTCATTAGGATAATGCAGAGGATGACATTCTTTCAAGAGAAAGTAAAAATCCTAAGCTTCCCTCTACCAGGCATCTTCCCTCAGGCACTGAGATTGCAGCCATCCAATAAATGGGGATGGGCAGAGAGAGGAGGCTTCAAAAGTCACAAAATACACTTCAACAGCTAATTTTTAGCAAGTCTGGCAATGAGATCTTTCCATTCTCCCCTCTTCTTTGTGATGTACGTAGGAGTGAGCAGCTGTAATAGTGATTCTGGCTGTTGCCTAAAGAAGTTCTGACACAAGGCCTCAGTGTTACAAATCACGTACATCCCACAGTCATAGCTGTTTTGTTGAGCAGGGGCTTTCTCTTCCACAAAGGCCAGTTTGTCTCCTTTTCTGCCTATGAAAGCCTCCAGTTTCTCTGCTACCTGCTTTGCATGGACTGAGTTGCTTCTGCTATGGGAATCATAATGAAAAAAGGTTTTTTTCTCTTGGAGATAAACCAACAAACTCCAATGGCTTCCCCCAGCTGCCTGGTTGGAATTATCATTGATGGCTAAAAATACAACTCTCTTGTGGGGGAGATCCAGGGGTTCAAGGAACATGGCGATCTCTGTTGGGTTGCTAGTGCACTTGATGAACTGGGTGACTTCGGGGCTGATGAAGCAGACGTACTCAGAGCAGTCATGAAACTGACTGTTGGCAAAGTACTCAAAGGCAAACCCAATAATATGGTCATTGAGCCAGCTTGGAGGATCCAATAGTGAGACATCTGATTGCCGCAGTAGACTGTCCATGTAACTCAAGACTACAGGGTCCATCTTGTACTGACCAGGGCTGCTCAGAAATTCCAGAAGCTGAAGGAGAGGCAGAAGACAATATTTACTGTTGAATACAATACTTGGCTGTAAAACAGGGATCATAAATAGTAGCTACTCTTACAAGTTTTTGTGAAGTTAAATACTATTATAAAGAACAACGATGCCTGGCTAAAAGTAAACATTCAAGAAACTCTAGCTTATGTTCTTTATGTTAATAATTCGTTAGAATGAAAACTTTGGAAATTTTCCATGCTAAAACAGTAACCATGGATTTTTAATTTCCTCTTTAAATGCAGAGACTGGTTAAAATTATAACTAATGTTTCACCAAACTATATAGCATTAACCATATATTTGGCTCTTTAATGAATATGCATGATAACAATGGCAAATTTATTATTATTATCATTTCTTTTGCTGAGGAAGATTTTCCCTGAGCTAACATCTGTTGCCAATCTTCCTCTTTTTGCTTGAGGAATATTTACCCTGAGCTAACATCTGTGCTAATGTTCTTCTATTTTGTGTGTGGGTCACCACCACAGCATGGCTGCCGATGAGTGGTGTAGGTCTGTGCCCAGGAACTGAACCTGGGCTGCAGGAAGTGGTGCACACCTAACTTAACCATTAGGCCACAGGGCTGGACCCCAATGGCAAATTATTTTTATATTAAAGATAAATTTTCAAAAAGTCTACAGAAAAATGTTACTAATTACCAAGGGAAATAGTTTCCATTTCAACATTAATTTTCAAGAGATAAGATAAAATATTGCTTCTTCATTCCATAATGGAAAGTGACAGTGATTAGAGCTGTAGTTAAAAGTAACTATAATTTCAAGAACAGAAAATCATGAGAGTAATTCATTCCTGATTCTGCCTAGCTAAGAGCATGAGTGATATAATATGTCTTGCCCATTTCCCATCTTTAACCTCAAGGGGTAAGATAAAGACTTTGTTCATAATGTAAGTTAGAAATTCTTTTGGCATTGAAAGGTAGTGGGCACAGGAATCAAGACCTTGGTCGAGCCCTAGTTCTACCACTGATTTGCTGGTATCACCTTGAGCAAGTCATTTAAATGATCTTGTCCTTGTTTTTGTCATCTGTAAAAAGGGCATATATCTGCTTTACATGTCTAAGAGTATTGTGGAAAAGGTCAAATAAATTTACTCGGAGGTATTAAAAGAGTATAAGCTGTTGTACAAATAATATTTATGTTATTATTGGATGATATTAGTAAGATGATCAGACAATCTAGATAGAGCTCCAAACCAATCAAAGCAAATGAGGTTTGGAAACAAATATCCATTCATATTTTGTCCAAACAAAAGCAGGACTCACTAACAGTAGGAACAAGACAAGTGGTATGATAAGATGAATATGCTCATGATCACCTGAGGGAAGGTGCTAACAAAGACAAAAACTCTGGTAATGGTGGTAAAACAATATTTGAACCTAACAGACTGAGTTCACTGCTATTCACTGATTGGTCAGCATAACACTATTTTTAAAAATCACAAAGCAATCAACTATCACATGCAGACTGAGAGTACAAAGCAAAGCATATTATAAGAAATAACAACACTGGACTAGAATTATGACATCAATTTAATCAATTCTGACCATTACACCAGTTATGTTACCACTTGGTTATGCTACTAAAAACAAACAAACAAACAAAAAGACCCAGCATGGTACAGACAAAAAAACAGACACACAGATCAGTGGAACAGAATCGAGAGCCCAGACATAAACTCACACACCTATGGACAGCTAATTTTCGACAGGGAGCCAAGAACATACAATGGAGAAAGGAAAGTTTCTCCAATGAATGGTGCTGGGAAAACCGGACAGCCACATGCAAAAGAGTCAAAGTAGACCATCATTTTATACCACACAGAAAAATTAACTCAAAATGGATTAAAGACTTGAATGTAAGATCTGAAACCAAGAAACTTCTAGAAGAAAGACAATACGCTTTTTTTTAAATCATCCTTTTTTTTTTTTAAAGTTTTTTTTTTTTCTTTTTCTCCCCAAAGTCCCCTGGTACATAGTTGTGTATTTTTAGATGTGGGTGCTTCTAGTTGGGGCATGTGGGATGCTGCCTCAGCATGGCTTGATGAGCGGTGCCATGTCGGTGCCCAGGATCCGAAATGGCGAAACACTGGGCTGCCAAAGCAGAGCGGGCAAACTTAACCACTCGCCACGGGGCTGGACCCACAACACACTCCTTGATATCAGTCTTTTTTTTTTTTTTCCTTTTTCTCCCCAAAGCCCCCCGGGTACATAGTTGTATATTCTTAGTTGTGGGTCCTTCTAGTTGTGGCACATGGGATGCTGCCTCAGCATGACTTGATGAGCAGAGCCATGTCCGCGCCCAGGATTTAAACCAATGAAACACTGGGCCGCCTGCAGCGGAGTGCGCGAACTTAACCACTCGGCCACGGGGCTGGCCCACTTGATATCAGTCTTAGCAGCAAATTTTCAAGTACGATGTCTGACCAGGCAAGGGAAACAACAGAAAAAATAAACAAATGGGACTACATCAAACTAAACAGGTTTTGCACAGTAAAGGAAACAATCAACACAACAAAAAGACAACCTAACAACTGGGAGAAGATATTTGCAAACCATATAGCTGATAAAGAATTAATATCTAAAAAATATAAATAAAGAACTTGCACAACTCAACAACAAAAAAACTAACAACCCAATTAAAAAATGGCCAAAATATCTGAACAGACATTTCTCCAAAGAAGATATACAGATGGCTAAGAGGCACATGAAAAGATGTTCAACATCACTAATTATTAGGGAAATGCAAATCAAAACTACAATGAGATAGCAACTCATGCCCATCAGTATGGCTATAATTAACAAGACAAGAAATAACAAGTGTTGGCAAGGGGCCGCCCGGTGGCGCAGCAGTTAAGTGTGCATCTTCTGCTTTAGTGGACCAGGGTTCGCTAGTTCGGATCCTGGGTGCGAACATGGCACTGCTTGGCAAGCCATGCTGTGGTAGGCATCCCACATACAAAGTAGAGGAAGATGGGCATGGATGTTAGCTCAGGGCCAGTCTTCCTCAGCAAAAAGAGGATTGGCAGCAGATGTTAGCTCAGGGCTAATCTTTCTCAAAAAAAAAACAAGTGTTGGAGAGGATGTGTAGAAAAAGGAACTCTCATACATTGCTGGTGGGAGTGCAAACTGGTGCAGCCACTATGGAAAACAGTATGGAGATTCCTCAAAAAATTAAGAATAGAACTACTGTATGATCCAGCTATTCCACTGCTGGGTATTTATCCAAAGAATATGAAAACATGAATGCGTAAAGACAGATGCACCTCTATGTTCACTGCAGCATTATTCATAATAGCCAAGACTTCGAAGCAACCTAGCTGCCCATGAAGGGACAAATGGATAAAGAAGATGTGGTATATATACACAATGGAATACTACTCAGCCATAAAAAGGATGAATGCTTGCCATTTATGACAACATGAATAGACCTTAAGGGTATTATGCTAAGTGAAATAAGTCAGAGCAAGAAAGTCAAATACCATATGATCTCACTCATAAGTAGAACAACAACAAACAAAACACACAGAGACAGAGATTGGATTGGTGGTTACCAGAGGGGAAGGAGGGAGGGAGAAAGGTGAAAGGGGTGATTAGGCACGTGTGTGGTGATGGATTGTAATTAGTCTTTGGGTGGTGAACATGATGTAATCTACACAGAAATCAAAATATAATGATGTACACCCGAAATTTATATAATGTTATAAACCAATGTTCCAATAATAAATAAATAAAATTTTGCGGCACAACCATTTTCATGTAATCAAAACCCTGCAAAAACCTATAGAGAAAAATAAATATACCCCTCAAGAAAAAAAGCTAAGTAAATGAGGTAGCTAAGACGCACCAAAGGTGGTTTTATGAGCAGTGTATCATAATACGAACTATTTCAGAAACAACATAAGGCTGTTTGTGAGTGTCTGTCTGTCTATCTATTATCTATCTAAAATAAGATGGCGTGAACTAAGATTTTCTTAAGAAAAAGTAACTTGAGCAGAGATATAAACTGGAGCCAGGAACAAAGTCAACGAGGCATAGAGCACATTTGTTATGGGTGGGCCACAAATTTGGCTCTAAGCTTTTTGGGAGCTAACCAGAGTGCATTAAGTTAAATATTCACAATGTCCATAGGTAAAAACAAAGCATTTGTTCAGGAAAGGTAAAAGCATTCTTTGTATTAAAGTCAGACCATTTTCTCTCAAGAAATTTTCATAGAAGTCATGGTCTATCATAATGAATAATGTCCCACAATATCCTTACAATAGATGAAACAGTTTCAGAGGATTGTTTCTTCTAATGATCCTGATGGCAATTGAGCAAACAGTGATCAAGTAAAAGCAGTTTTGTGGAGACTAGGTGCTCAGCTTGCTGCTGATGTGCCTTGATTTAAGAGTATACGAATATGAAAAGGGAATAACTGTACATGCATCAAGCATGGCTCCCTGAATCTCTCCCCCATGCCTTCAGTGAACACTACGTAGTGGTGAGTGCCAGACTGTACTGCCTGGCAACGACATGGAGACCTGCTCTCTACACTGCCAGCTGAAATCAGACCCACATCTTATCAGCCAACCCAACCAGGGATAGGAGCCTACAAGAAGAAGAATGCCTGAAGAGACAGGCATCTCACCTTGGAGGGAGTGTCCACAGGCAGGGACAAAATTTTCTTCAAAAAGTAGTTTTTGTGTTTTGTCTGTTTGAATTTGAAAATGTCCAACATACAGACAATGGGTAATCAAGGACTTAATTCTATTTCATACAGCATGATTGCCATAGTTTAACCCCGACAATTCTAAAGCAAATGGAATCAAACTAATATTAGCCAAAACACCCTTGGCCAAGAAAAAGAACTCTAAACTTCACATCTGAAGACTTGAATTTTAGACTCAGTTCTGTTACTCATGGCTGTGTGATCATAAATAAATTACTTAATTTTTTTAAGCCTCAGTTTCCTCTTCTGTAAAGTG